AGACGCAAGATAGAGGTTTATAGTGATTTAGCAGAAACCTTTAAAAGAACCTCGCTACAAAGAGAAATTTTGAAGAACAAACACTTTTTTTTTTTTTTTTTTTGGCTGTGCAGAATAAACCTTGAAGAAGTTGTTTTAGTGTTACATGTGCATCCCATCAAAAAGGGACAGATGGCAGGCTCTTAAAAGAATTTGGAAAATACAATTTTTCAAATTCCCGCCTTAATGAACGCTTGTTATCACCCTACACGTGGCACCAATCATCGATGCTACCTTCAAAAGACGTGCTAACACATGATTCTAGCATATGCATTTCCAATGAAAGAAGAGTGGATTTCGCTAAAGACTAATAAAGCTCATTCGGCCTAATCTCGAGTGTGGATGGACACAGATGACTGAAGGTGTAACCGCTAACCACTCTACATAAAGTTGGCATTTTCTTTATTCAGCATGGCTCAGCTTGCCGAATAAAGGTACCAATACGACAAGTTAGAGCCATTCGACCAAGATCAAATTGACCACCAAATAGACATCGTTTTCTTTCCACTCAACAAAGACATGCCAAGTGGGGCCAAGAGATGTCACTTCAGTTATAAAATCACATGTTCTGGTGCACCAGCTTACTCGACATGAAAAACTGAACGAAAGAACTTACCATCCGAGTAGCACCTTTATTCAGATAGTAAGTCTCACTCGGCTTGGCACCTTCATTTGGCCTTATAAGTCTCACTCAACCTAGCACCTTCATTCGACCTTGAAAATCTCACTCAGCCTAGCAACTTCATTCGGATAGTAAGTCTCGCTCGGCCTAGAACCTTCATTCAACCTTGCAAGTCTCACTAGACCAAACACCTTCACTTGGCCTGACGCCTTCACTAGACTTCTTTCGGTTTCATACTGTCATTCGGCTTACCCACGCTTTGCCTTGAATGATATTTTGTTTGGCTTGGTTGTCCAAAATCGACATGTCTCCAAAAATTGATTGAATATATTCTCCAAGATAAGTATTCCTTAACTCAAAGAGTGGGGGACAAATTGTATGGCCAAAAATCATGACGGACCTTATTAGGCACAAACACGAAACAAACTGTGCATGGCCCAATGCCTTGGTCGAATGCTGGTTAGGTCCATGCTAGGATCTACTCTACAAGTCAACCCATTCCACAAATCGGGTTACATAATAACATGGACCATTCTCCAATTAAGGCCACTCCACGAGTGGGCCTTGTTACAAGCTCATTTGGGCTTCAACCCATCGGCCCATGGTCACTCTAAAAGACCTAGAGTCCCATCAATATCCTAATTCATCTAGGGGTTCCACCTTTATCCAAATCTATCTAAGGTTTTCATCTACATCCTAATTCATCTAAGATCTTGAGTCTTACATGAATTAGGACTCCTACTCATACGAAGGCAAGTAAATCAGGATTTTCCTATTTGCTCAAATTCTACCATTATGAACATAGAGTTCTACTAGGACTCAAGCCCCTTGAACTGCCTATATAAGCAGAGGCCTAACCTCTCATTACACATTCAATCTTAATATCACCTACTTGCTCCCAAGAACCACCATTCTCCTTGCCATAGTTCTAGTCTCTAATGAGATTCCGGTAACCCTTCCCCCTTTAGACCTCACTAAATTGTCTTTCAACCTTATTGACTTGAGTGTCGAAGTGCCTACGTCAAACACTATACCAGTGTCCCCTGTGAGTTTCATGCTTACTTCTTTGTGTGTGCAGGTTAAGAAAATCGTCAGTGGCTTCAACCTCACAGGATCTGTCCCTTCCATAACCGTAGATTTTTACCATCTACAATTATAAACCCAAAGAATTTAATACATATATGGTATTAATCAAACTCGTTTCATCATGGTTTATATAATTTAGATTTATGTAAGACTGTTCAACGAGGCGAGCCACTCACGAGCCGGCTCGACTAGACTCGGCTCGAGTACGCCTCGCCTCATCTGGAATCGAGCCGGCTTAGCTCGATTCATGAGAGAGCGCGAGCCTGGCTCAGCTTGGCTCGTTAGGCTCTCGAGCCGAGCTAGGCTCGAATTATTAGGGGCGTTTTAGGGGTTTTATAAAGTATGGAGGATTAAACTAAAATTTTTAAAACAAAAGTTTGCAAAAATGACAAAGAACCCCCCGATGTTAAAATCCCTAAAACCCTTTGCTGTAAAACCAAACCAAATCAAACCATTTTAGGCAAACTATCACCGTTAGAGTTGGTGGAGAGTGCAGGGGAAACAAGGAGAAAGAAGGAAAGAAAGGAAGAGAAAATAAGAGAAACATGAGCAATTAGAGAGAGAGAGAGAGAAGAAAAGAAAGCAAATGAGTAATAAGTAACAAAATGAGAAAAGGAAGAGAATACCTTTAGAGTTGGTGGAGAGAGCAAGGGAAACAAGGAGAAAGAAAGAAAAAATAGAGAAACGGAAGCCATTGGAGAGAGAGAAAAGAAGAGAAAGCAAATGAATAATAAATTAGAGAGAGAGAAAAGAAAAGAAAGGAGAGGAGTAATAAATGAGAGAATGAGAGAGAGAGAGAGAGAGAGAGAGAGAGAAGAAGAGAAATAAAAGAGTAATAAATTAGAGAGAGAAAATTTGCTCCGAATTTAAAAAAAAAAGGTTGTATGCTTTTCACTGGCTCACGAGTCAGCTCTAACTCAGCTCATTAAACCGACTCGCGAGCCAGGCTCGAAATCCTCTCTTCTCTTCACGAGTCGAGCCAAGTCAAAAAATCAGAGGTTCAACTCGGCTCAGCTTAAACTCGAATTCTCCTCTTCTTTCACAAGCTGAGCTCATTAAGTCAAAAACTCGGCTAAAAAACAGCCCTAGATTTATAATGTAGAAAATAAAATAAAAATCTAAATTAATGGCAAAAGATTTAATCTTGATAAGTTATGCATACAATATTTTGTCTGTCTTAGTAATTTTATGAAGGATAAAATTGTAATTAAAAAGAAAATAGCAATTAGGGCTAGTAAGATAAAAAGTGCGGGCGAACAGTATCACTCTTAATTTAATTAAATTTGGGTTTACAAAGAGTTGTTATGGGGTTGAAATAATAACAATCCAGAGATTATAAATCATCATTATGTTAATTTAAAATTCTATTCTTATATGTTAAAAGTTAAAATATGAGTAAATTTTTACTCAATAATAGAGTTATTGTTCTAAACAGTATAAATTAAATGACGATTTCACGGAATGTGAAAATGTGATATAAAATGTAAAAGGGACTAAAATGAAATGATCGGAGAATAACTTGAGTTCATTGTAGTTATCTTCTTATTGGCTTTTGCATTGAATCTCAGGTGAATAACAATTCATTCACACTACATTTACAATGGAAGTCTGTTTTTTTTTTTTTATAGCACATCCCCCGCCCTTGAGCCAATGAAATTAGAGTCCGTTTGATCAGTCTTCTTCGAGTAGAGCTTATGGAAGAAGAATTTATCTGAAAACAGTTTATAAATTAAAGTTTTGATAAAATATTGGTTAGTTGTTTGGTAAAGGAAAATGTAAAAAACTCTCTCCTATTAATTTACCAAAAACTGTTTTAATATATAAGAATAGATCAAGTGAAATTTATAAAATATATAAGAATATTTTTTAAATTTCAATATTTTAAATAAACCTAAAAAGAGCTTATGGCTTTTCCCATAAGCCTTAAAATAACTTATTTATAATTTTATAGCACTTTTAAAATGAAACCAAACATCCTGAAAAAATGTCTAAAGTGTTTATAGCTTTAAATAAGCTCTTTTAGCCAATAGATAACCTAACCAAACATGCTCTTAGCTCCTTTAGGAAAGTGAATCTCCTCCACTCTATGCTTTGGGAAGTGAATTTTAGCCCCCACCAACTTGACCACTATCCTCCATAGGTAAATACACCTTTATTATATTTTTAAGAAATTTCTTCAAACCTCATTTAATACCAAAAATAGTCCTCCTTAATTAAGTTTAATTAGGGTTTTTTTAATCTGAACTCCCCTTTTCCCCCAATTTCGAACTTAATTAGAGTTTCTTTTATTATGCCACTTTTCCCAAATTTCAAACTTACTTAGAGTTGTTATTTATACCACTTTTTCCCAATTTCTTAATTAGGGTTTTTTCTTTTAATATCCCTTCTTCCAAATTTCAAATTTGAAACTTGGTTTTTTCTTCTTCGTATTTGGGTTCAGATTCATCCTTTTGTGTGATTAATTTCTATTTAGCATTATTAATATATTTTCATTAAACAAAGAATTTTTGAAATTAAAAAAAAATGTTTAAATGATTTAGGAAATTTCGAATTAGAGTTTATGTAAGATTTAAAGGCTAAGTGTATTTAGAAATTATTATGTTATTAAGGTTAAACTTGTCAATGCAAAAGTACATTTAAAATTGGGAATACTGTTAATTTAATGGGGGCTACAAGTCAATTCTCCTATGCTTTTTGTTCTTCAATTTTTAAACTCAATTCTAATGTTTGATGAAATGAATGCGGGTCCAGTCGCAAGAGATGAAGTAGGCTTGCATGAGGAAGTAGTTGGGCCCCGTCCAAAAATGAAGATTGGCAAATGCCAGGGAGTGGGTCTGGTGGAATCCACCTACTTATTAGAGTCACATGTTTGTTATTGTTCATATAAAGAATCTCATATTTAACATCTCTCTACGTCCACTTAATGAAAGTTTTGAGATTTGTAGATATAAAAATATGAAATTTCTTGGCGTCCAAATTTCAACAAAGTGGGAGAAGTGGTCTCACCTCTTTTCCCTTTCTTTCACCCTATTTCCTTCTATTTTGTCCTCAGCAGAACCCACCCTTGATTTGGATATTTAGAAATGCTATGATTAGATTGTCCTGTGCTTCATCTAAACATTACTTATAATAGATCTTTATAATTGATTGTCCTTTCACCCGTCATAGAAACTAGGTCAGCTCCACTATATACAGATTCAAAACAACCATTGCAAACATTCAGAACAAAAAGTTTTAAAATAAATTATCATTGTTATTATTATCATTTTTACTTCTGAAGCCTGTCTAAAAGGCGTCCTGATTCTGGGTACAAATTATTAACAGGAGCAATCATTGACATGCCCAACAAAACTAATTCGGAACTGGGGTATTACTTATTAGAAACACTCTTTCTATATGCCAGTATACCTAGGTTTCCGTTTCTCAGCGAATGCAGCCAATCCCTCCAACCGATCCTTCGTATCTAAGGTCTCTAGGTAGCACTCTTCTTCCAGTTGCAAAGCTGATGCCATGTCAATCTCAGGTCCCTCACTAATAGCCCTTTTCGCCATCCTAATTGCTATTGGACCCTGCAAACAATAGGTGTTGACTTGAATTTGAAAATCAGATGTCATTATTTGTCCTACAAAATAATTCAGTTCGATCTACTTTTTCATGTCAAGCATTATCCAGATAGTTTGAAGTTTCACCAATAACTCACCCCACTAAAAGAAACAAAAAGAGGATCATTAACGCAAACTCACCAGCTGCAAGTCATACAAAAATTGGTGTGCATAATATAACACACAGTTATGGTCCTTTTCTTTCCATTTTGCTTAAATAAAACATTTCGGGGTTTTCGAACATGCATAACCTAACCAACTTATAAACACATCAATCATGATAGGAAAGGTCTTCCAAATGTCCTAACTTTTTGGCTGCCAAGAGACTCTTAACAGCATTGCATTCAGATTCCACGCCACATAAATATTCCTTTACGATAATAGTAAAGACACATATTCCTACCTTCTGATTGATTTCCCGGGCAATTTCAAGTGCCTTCAACTGAGCTTGACCGGCAGGAACACAGAAATTCACAAGACCTGCACATAAAACCCTTATATTGCTATATATGATGGATACATATATGTATGTATGTATGTATGTATGTATGAATGTATGTGTCTGCTACAATCTAACTCACCAATAGACATTGCATCTCTGCCACCAACTTTACGACCAGTAAATATAAGATCTTTTGCTACTGACCTTCCAACCAATCTAGGCAGCCGCTGTGTCCCACCTGCTCTGTTAAAAGCCAGGACTATATGAGTAATCTATCACCGCAATTACTTCTTGAAAAGAAAAAGTATTCATGCAGTAATATGGCCCATCTGAAATTATTAAAATGTAATTAGAAGCCACTCTTCTAAGCTAATACTGATCTACTTACGTGCAACAAAACATTAGTGATTGCAAGCAGAACTCTTGTGAACAGAACTAATCTAAACCCTCACCAGCAAAAAAATTTAAAACAAGTTGCAATCCACAAGAGATGTTACTAAAACTTTACCAGATTTAAAACAAAATGTTGTACATACCCAGGAATTATAGCAAGTCCTGTTTCTGGCAAGCCCAATACTGCATCTTCTCCTGAGTAATTAGAAATTAAAATCCATTACAACTTTTCTTTCTTTTTTCTTTTTTGGAAAAAGAAAAATTCTCAATGAATAAATTGGAACTACCACAGACACGAAGATCACATGCTAGTGCCATTTCAAGGCCACCACCCAATGCTGCTCCTTCAATGACAGCAATGGTAGGAACAGGAAGTGCCTGTATCATGTAAATACAAGCTCAAAAGTAAGATAAAAGTCACCACAAAATGCAATGATGTAAGCACATGTTATAAAGAATATCTAACAGCAAACGAGCATAAGTATCAGCCTCCACATATGTAGTATGCTTATACAATTTTTGTACACACATGTACATGAAAACTTATATAATAGGGTAATCAGATATCAAGTCTTACCTCTAAGAACGAGAATGTGGATCGCAGTGAGTTGACAAAAAAATGAATCTCAGATGCACTCATAGCCCTGCGTTCCTAACAAACCAATAAAAGGCAGAACCGTTAAGTATTCACCATATAAGTACTGTTCCTAAGGAAAAATGCAAGCAACACAACCACAATATGAAGCCACTAACCAAGAAAATCACCAATTAAATCATGATTCTATCACTAGCCCCATGCTTCTACTCAACAATGCATGTTGACAGAAGAAAGACATATCCTCAATTTTATTACCATAACTTCAATTTCCTCTACGAAATCATGACAAAACTATATATATATATTTTTTTTTTCTGATTTATTGTTAAAACTCCCAAATTTGCATCACATAAAAATAAATAAATAAACCAGTAAAGTCTCGGTAATTAGAATTGTACTAATACTGCAAAAGAACGAGTGTGTCATACCTTCAAATCAGCACCAGCACAGAACACTTTAGGAACCGAACTGGAAATCATTACAACTTTGGCAGAAGAATCCTCACTAATAGTTTCAAATTTATGCTTTAGGCCTCTCAATAGCTCCGTTCCAATTGCATTTCTAGCTCCAGGCCTATTTAAACTAACCTCAATTATTCCTGTTAATCATAATTAGTAAGTACTACGAATTAACAACAAACACAAAGTAGTAAAAAATAAAATAAAATAAAAAAAGAAGCAGAAATTCAAGTACCAGAATCAGAGTCGGAGAGTCGCTGAAGCTTGACCAACTCAGAGGAAGCGGATTCTAAAATGAGAGTTCTACGGCTCTGGTACTGATGAAATTGGTTTAAATTTTCTTCTGAGATTAACAAGTTTACCAGTGGCTGAGAAGGTTTATGCCAACAGGCTTTGGATTTTTTCATACAATGCTGAGCCAGAGATTTTGTTAGAGTCGTTACGGTGGCCATGTTTGATCAAACTGATTTCAGCTGAGAGAAAGAAGGTGAGGGTTGGAGTTAGAAAATTTGATTACAGTGATTTGACATTATCGTAAACGTCAGTATGGGCTGGCCGTGTAAAACGGAGCGTTTTGGTTGTTAATGTAATAATAAACTTCTGCAGTCGTGCACTCTTTGTTGAAATGTTAAACCAAAGAAAATAGTAGAAGACTAGTTATGGGCTATTGGGCTTGCGTAATGTACTCTTTCGGCCCTCTATTTCCAAATGTATAATTAATACTAATCAATCTCACAGGTCACAGGTGTATAAAGTAATCCAGTAGAGGTATTTAAGTCTCCCCGTAAATTTCTTCTAAGCTTAAAGTATATATAGATACTTTAAATAATTATCAAGAAGGACATTTATTGTTTTAGCACACCTCATCTACTAAACTCTCTCTTTCTCAATACCCAAAGCCCCTTTTTTTCCAAAACTTGGTTTGAAATTCGTCAGTTGAAGTTCATGTATTTTTTTTTTTTTAAGGAAAAGATAATCCCATTAACAGGCAAAAATGATGATGGAAATTTAATTAGGAGAAAAAAATGGAGACGATGGATTAACAAATAAATTTAGAAGGAAAAATGTTAGGAGAGTGACGATTTTGAAATAATTAAATAATATTTGTAAATTAAATATTTAAAAGGATTTTAATTATTATTGAGGTTTATAAAGAGATTTAGCGGGGGCTTAAACAACATCCAATCTGAAATTAACTTCACAATTATAAACATAGATGGTGAACTTTTTTTTTTCATAGCTTGTGTGCAAGGTAAGTCACAAATGTATTAAATGATTCTAGGATGGTTTGAACTTAAGAAGTTAATAAAAAAAAAAACAAATATTCTGACAACCCCTGCCTCAAATGTTTTAACAATCATGTTTCTGGTTTTCTATGCTCTTATTCTATAAGCATCAATCCAAAAAATTAGAAAACTGAGGTGGACAAGTGGACCTACTCGGCATAGTCCCATTTGAGCCCAGTGGACCTGTTTCAGCATATCTTGGAAGACCATTTTGGCCCATCGGAGAGCAAAGAGGAATATATGCCCAAGTCACGAGACTATTATAAATAACTTTCATCATTCCCACACATTATGATTATTATTCATCTTTCTTGTATTTAATTAAAATAGAATACAAGAAATCTCTAGACGTTATATATAAATTTATTCTAAAAATTATTTCAATTTGCTCAAATTTTAGGGTGACAATAATTATAAGATTTTAGTGTCATAGGTTATTAATAAAATGAAATTAAACCTGAATTAATGTACATGTGATTCATATTACATAAGAATAAAACTATGCACCTGAAGACAAAAACATAAACAATATAAAACTTCAGATAAAATTTTAATATACACTAAAGTTCAAAATTATTAGAGTTGTTTATTATGACTTTTTAAGTAGAGTTTATGAAATTAAAACTCCTTTAAGTAAATAAAAGTAGAGTTTTTTATTAAATATTATTAATTGTTTGATTAGATAAGTTTACAAGCATTTATTAGTTTTAAAAAACATAAGAATAAAGTAATAAACACAATTGACCAGAAAAGGAACTAATGATAAAAGATAACATTATTTTCGGATCATGTAGGCCTGCAATCAAAACGAACACGAACGAACAGTCCATTCGAAACTCGTTCAATAAGTATGAAGGATTGTTCGATTTCGTGTTCGAACTAGAACGAACACAGGATGACTGTGTCATATTCGTTCGATTAACAAAAGGCCAGTTCGTGATTGGTTGAATAACTGAATTTAGGATCTGTTTGTTCAAAGTAAAATGAGCGAAATTAAACGAATCTGGACTTTTAAGGGCCAAACAACGATTCAGAAAACAGAAAAAGAAATAACTTACAGAGATCAACATGCAGCTTCCTTGAATCTGAGTTTAAGAATTAAAACTGAAATCTTCTCCTTTAGTCCTTTATACTCTGTCTCTGTTTGTTGATTATCTTATTCCGCCTAATTGTGAGTGTTGAGGTGTTGGGGCTGTCGCGTTGAGCAAACTCAAATTGCAGAAAAAATTAGGGCTGTGAACTGTGATGTGAGTGAGGCTGTCGCAATATGCAAAAGGTAAAGGTGGAATTGGATTTGGATTTGGGCCGGGTAAGGGAAACGTGGAATTGGGTTTGAACTTTGGATTTTTGTTTTAAAATTTGGGATGGGCCAAATAAGGGAAAGTGTGAAATTGGTTTACATATATATATATATAATGCGTAATTGGTATGTACAAAATTATATTCATACATATATTAATCATAAATTAAATATGTTAATATGTTATGAAATTACCAAAATTATAAGTTATCATATATTTATTATCATTACATAAATTATCATAAATATTTTAAATGTTTACATATATATTTGTATCAACACCAAAATTTATAATGGAATGAGGATCTATTGTAATATATGATCATACATATATGTGATTAATTAATTTGTATATATATATATATATATATATATAATATAATATATATATATATATATATATATATATAATGTGTAATTGTGTATATACAAAATTATTATTATATATATATTAACATAGATTATATGTTATGAAATTACCAAAATTATAGGTTACATATATTATTATTGATTACCATTAAAAAAAATTCATCCAAACTAAACCAAACATATATAAAAAAAAGAAAAAAAATGAAAAAAAATAATAAAAATTATAATAATGCATACCATGTTTTCAAACATAAAAGAACGAAAAAATCGAACAAATGTTCGCGAACGGATGGATCAGTCGAATGTATAATGTTCGTGAACATAATCGAACAAACAACCCATGTCGAACTCGATCGAACATATTATCGAACGAATATCAAACTGTTCGCGAACAGTGTCGAATAGGTATCGAATGAACATTGAGTTGTTCGTGAACTGTTTGGTTCGTTTGCCTCCCTATTCGTGCTAAGTAATGTTACGGGCTCATATTTTGAGCCGCAGTTCTCAAATTGAAAATTAATTGGCGATCGGTTGTCCCGAAAATTGAAAAATAATATTTGAGATTATTCTGTTTTATTCATTAAGAAAATATTATTTTAAATATAACATAATATTTAGAATAATATGTATTAATATTAATAAATATAATATAAATTAAATTCATTTTAAATAAAATTAAAATTAAAATACCATGATTAGAAAACTTGATTGGTAATGAAATAAATATAATCTAAATATGGAATTGTATATGACTATTCCATATTAGATTAGGGTTTTAATTGTTGCCATATTTAAGTGCAACTCTAAAAATTAAACAAATTATTCAATCAAACACAAACCCTAGCCGCGTCTCTCTCTCTTTCTCATTCTCTCCCAAAACCGTGAACACTCATGGTTGGAGAAGAGAATTTTTCAAGTGAAAAATTCTGCACTATTATCCTTGAACCAATCGGTTTGGCTAGCACATCGAGTCCTTTGGTGATCATCATCTTGTCTTCGTGTGCGATACCTATCGTTCATTCCTATCTTGGAGTGAAAGCGAATCCAAATTAGTTGAAGGAGCCTCTAATCGTTGGTATAAAACTTACAATTATGTTTAATATAATTGCCATGCATGAATGATGTAAATAAAAGTAGAGTTCGTAATAATGAGAATCAGTTAGTGCCCACACGTGTCCAAATGGGATGGAGAGTAAGTATCGATTACAGGAAGTTGAACGCAGCAACTTGAAAAGATCATTTCGCTCTCCCTTTTATAGATCAGATATTAGAGAGATTAGCTAGTCATACTCATTATTGTTTCCTTGATGGTTTTTCAGGTTACAACCAGGTTGGGATAACACCAGAGGATTAGGAGAAAATGACCTTCACATATCCATTTGGTACATTTGCTTACCGTCGAATGCCATTCGGATTGTGTAACACTCCGACAACCTTTCAGCGGTGTATGGTTAGTATATTCTCTAACTATGTAGAAAACATTATAGAGGTATTTATGGATGATTTTAGTGTCTATAGTGATTTATTTGATAAATGCTTAGATAACCTTACACTAATACTGAGGAGATGTTTAGAAACTAACGTTGTATTAAATTGGGAAAAATGTCACTTTATGGTAAAACAAGGTATAGTATTAGGGCATGTTATTTCTGCTAGAGGGATAAAGATAGATAAATCCAAGACAAATGTTATTTCTGCTTTACCTTACCCCATGAATGTGCGGGAGATTTGATATTTTCTTGGACATGCAGGTTTCTATCGTGGATTTATCAAGGATTTTTCGAAGATTGCATTGCCCTTGTGTAAGCTGTTGCAAAAGGACTTGTCATTCCAATTTGTAGTAGTGGGATTTTCAGGATTTAGGGTAAGATGAAGTGAGTATCCTAGGCAGTAACAAGCTCTACTACTCGAAATTCCCTTAATTCTGACTAATGAAACATGCTCTTCAACAATCTCTAACCATTAGACAACCTAGAACAAGCTCTCTAGATTTAATGTAATGGTTTCTTTAAGTTCCAATGAAATAGGTTAATCTAAGCAACAATCTCATAAACTTGGATTATTTAACTTAGGTTTTGTTATTCAAGTAATAAAATAGAAAGTTTATCCACAATCTTTTATTACTAATTGCTACTGCGTGATTAGGAAAAGATCGATTACGTAATACAATCCCTAATTTTAGCAATCGATATCAATTCAATCTATTTAGCAGGCTTGAAGTAAATTAAACGAATCAAATATCATATTCCATTAAAACTGAATAACATAAATCAAATCCATAGAAAGGTAAGAAATTACATTACTTTATCAATTATACCATCGATATGTGTTTAGGAATTGAAATCCCCTCGAATTGAATTGAAAAAGTCTAACCAAACATCTTAAACTGAGAACCACAAATGTTTCTGAATGAATCTCCTTGTGTGTGTTTTTCCTCTCTTTTTTAAAAACCTAATGTTCTATTTATAGCCCCTTCAAATGACCCTAAAAACGTGTGTACAACCTCTCAAAGGGTTTACAACTCAAATTCCTAAATTGTAGGCATTGAGTCCTACTCTTTCCAAAACAGGCTGAATAATTTTCTACTGGAACTTGTGAGATGATTTCAGGTCATAAGAAA